ATAAATCAATCAATGAGTGAATGAGGGAAGGAATAAATAAACAAGCAAATAAATGGCTAAAGCAGCGAGCAAGCGAATTCATGAAAGGCTACGGGGTCAGTGTCTGCACCGAGAGCCAAAGAAAACGGTGAAGTTTTTCTTCCAGTCGTTTCCGTCTGCCTTTTCAACGGAAAACGATGATTCGCAATTATCATAAGAAAATATTTTAATAATGGCTGATGCATTATAATGTTGAAAATATTGCCTTTCATGTCGCTCAGACGTCAATGTGAGAAATTGCGTCGTAGCGTTGCTTATGTTGCCTTTCTGAGGAAGAGAAAAGGACAATTTTTATATGTTACCTTAATGTCCCAGTCTTAGCTTGGACAAGAAAAATGACCTTTATGTGCAATAATCTACTTATAAATCGATAATAACGCAGGCAATGTGATACTCATTGCAAATATAAGTTGGCATACTTTGAGCCGATGGACAAAAATAGACGTCTTGCTCTTTCTTTAGTTGGTCGAAAGTCGACAGCAATACGGCAGAGCTGGAAAACGTCGGCCCACTGGTATTCCGATCGATCAGAATGGTTTCTTCTGAATAAGACGTAAAATCGCTCAATTAAAATGACGCACCAAACCTTCTTCGCTTTTTTCCATTCCCACGGTTTCCTCTTCCTGTTTCGGGCTGTCCTACGAGTTCGAACAATTTTTTTAAATCGGTTACAGGCAGAAGAAAATTCATGATTATTCTAATGAGTACTTCTGCGCGATTAAAGAAATGTAAATGAACAGGAAAAACTGAATTTGTCAAGTTCGGTATTGCCTTCGTTAACAAAACATTCTTGGCTTGTGGCGGGCGTCGAAACTCGGACTGACCGGAGTCAAGCGTCATGTGCTTAATGAAAGAAGCTCCACAAATTGTTTCCATCGTTATGATACGAAGAAAATCCGCATCTAGCATAAAGTGTCTCAACGGGAGATGTCCCCATCATCATGTTTCTGATACACTGGTGGGACAAAAAAATTACAGCCTTCGCACACGTACTTTACAGTGCCTGCTGAATGTCACGAAAAGTCGTTCATAAAAAAAGCAAATTCAAATAATAGTTAAATTTGAACAAGTGACAATTTTATGAAGGAAAAACACATTATGAATTGAAGACAGTTCATATCGCCATAAAACGAATATGAACCGTCTGGGTCCGTTAGGCCAAGAGATAAAATTCACAGGTTTTCATTGGCTCATTCATAATCCATTAAGATAGGCTGCACAAACAGAGAGGCCCTTTGGAACCCCGTCTTAAGATTAGAAACTTTACGTGTACGGAAATAGGCAAATTCGTGATAATCATACGTAATATGCGCTAACGATACAAGATTTAGAATTGAAAGCGAGAGAATGGCGGCTTACTTCCTTTTCCACAGATGTTTTCGTGAAAAACTCGTATTGTTCAGAAGCCGAAAGAATATTCTCCTAAATGGCTATGAATAGCAACATCATTTTTATTAAGCATTCACCTAAAAATGCTCCATATCTTTTAATGTTCTGCTCTCCATGAATCTAATCTCTGTAATCGCAAGTATAAGCGAATTGCGGCGAATATGAAAATGAACCAGAAGAAGACTCAAGTTACGTTTAAGATGTGACCATAGTATAATAACTATGGAAATAAATAAATGTATGCTTGATGGTGTGTAAAACCATGTCTCTATGAGACAGCTCATCTCTAAAATGGTTAACCAATTGTGAGAAATCAGCAGAGCAGTGAAAACGCCGCGGAGCACTTTTGGACGAATGAAAATTTCCTCCTCTTGGAAACTGGCCCTGTCCACGAAACGGAAAGTCTTCGTTGGATACGTCGCCCCCCCCCCTCAATGGTAATGTATGGATGCAAAATATGGGCATGAAAGTTGTGCACAGCTTCGAAGAGTTTATGTTGGAAACAACTGGAAAAAATAGGAAGACGAATGAGTAGGTAACAGCGCAAACAGTATTCTGCCGTGTCTTCGAAAAAGCAAGGAAGTTGAGGTGGCGACGGACAGATTGGTTTCAGGAAAAGCCGGCCGTCACTGATTCAGAGAGACAGTAGACTGAGGTACAAGAGAAAGTAAACTGCCCCATGGGAAGACCTCCAGATCGAGCGCGTAATGAGTTAAGAATTTTGGAGCACCTGAATTTGTGATGAAATCTTGGAAAGGCCCTTTCTTCCAAAATTAGGTGGAAAAAGGACTTACGGTTATCGTGATGAGGGAAGCATAAGAAGGAACGGGAGGAGGAGGATATTTTTTACTGAAGAGAACCGCGGTCCTGATTAAAAACTCTCCTAATCAGCAAAATCAGGGGACAGTGCGGTTACGCCGCGTACATCTGGAAGTGAAGCACTTGCGTTATTCTCACCGGCGTATTTAAGACTATCATATTTCATCGGACAGCAGCACGAAAACAACTGATTGAGACGCAATGTGAGAAATGGTGCTGGTTTATCTGATGACGGACAAATGGTTACATTTTGGTCGATATCTTACGAACCATTGTCCAGGTAAAAAAAGCATGAAGGCATGTTTAAGACGTGACTGCTAACTTGCAAATAAAATACTCCAAGACCTTTCGATACTGGTTACTGTAATTATATTCTTGTCAATATTTTATTTTTGCATATGTAATTTTTTAATGCTTGGATATTTAGAAATTAGTCTGAGAAATGGTCGTTGCAGTGTCTAAAATGTTGACGGTAGAGAAAAAGCGATAGTGGTTCTGCATCAGCAGTTGCTGTGACGCTTAGATCATGTTCATTCAACAGTCGATGCTCTTAACCTATGCACGATATGGCGAGATATATCAGTTTTCGATATTCACTTCCTTCAATATTTATGGTCGAAAGATTTATAGTTTTCCCAAAAAATTCTGCAGTTGGCGCAGCGGCTAGGAAACGTTTATAGGAATCGTCTTTCGCCTTGGCTTCGACTCCATGTTTAAACAAATAATAAATCAGATATAAGAACATAATGCACGTGATATATTTTCAACGTCAATTTAGCAACACAGAGATTGTCAAATAACGCATTCTTCTAATAAGAGATTTCGCAGCGTATTGCACTGCTCTCTTGGTCCTAGCTTCCAAATGGGGAAGGCATTTAAGTAGATGACGAATCCGTTCCATTTGAGCACCTGCAGTGCCAGATGCATCTCACATCAGTTCCATCGTGAGAGCCATCTCGCACTCATCACCCACCATGTTCCTGGAGATTGTTTTCCTTACATGCTTTGGCACAAACATCGAAATATACTCGTACCCCGGAGAATGTCACGGATATGATTCATAACTTCTTCAAGAGCAGACAAAACATCGTTCACTTGTAAATATCAAATATAAACAAAATTCTCACGCTAGACTTAGTGACGTCGCCTCTTCTAGCAAGCAGATCCTCCACAAACTGGTTGACACTTCTCTCGGACCACCACTCGTCGTCTTGCTGAAACAGAGACCATGGCGTAATTACTGCAGAATTAATAGAGCGTATGTGATCAACAGACTGTAACTTGTTTGATATAGTTAGCAACGAGCAGTTTTGAATCATATCGCATTTCCGTTTAAACCCAAACACTGCTGCGATGAATTAAATTTAATGCTCCTAGAATATAATATTATTAAAATCATTGGTAAAGTCGGCTTGACGTCATCGCGTATTTGAAAGTATGATAACTCTACCGAGAAAGGGTCACAAATTTATTAATAAATGAAGTTCGCTTCGCTAATGTCTTTGAAAGATCAGATCACTAGACTGCTGAAGGCAATCTCTTTGAACCGTGCTGAAAAATAGTCATTAATAAGCGAGTTAGTACGATAAAGAAAGTTCTCTTTATTGCCCATGAGACATTATCTATAGATATAGCATTGTTGCGTATAATATTTGGGCAAATATTCCTCGGTGCGGAACCGCAATACAAAACTCATAACTTTAACTCAGCAAGTTCGTTACGGTACGCACAATACGATTTGTAAGATGAAACTCAGAATTATGTCTTAGTTGAAACACACGTACCTTGGAGAACTGCCTTTTGGCCATTGGGTTCAGTTTGCGATTCAGCCGAAATTTCTGTCTTCTTTCGGACTAAGGCAGTCGAGGTTAGGAGAAATACAGGTAGTATAGAAGGAAATGACTCTGCACTTACGACGCTGCTGTCTCGAATCTTCTTCGAAAGGTCGTCACCTTCTTCCCGAGGTTCTTTCCTCGAAACAACTCTCGAGGAGCTGAGAGCTAAGCAACAAATCTGATTCCACAAACTTCGCTTTTGGAAGACTTTCTACACTTACGGAAACTCCGTATCGACACATTGTCGGCAGGTCGATGCTTGGAGAACTTGCTCTGTCGCTTGGTTGGCACTGGCAATTCCACAAGCTCCACCGGCGGTTCACTTTCGGCTTCATTTGACTTAAAGCAAAGCCATGATATGTAGGCGAACGATGTTATAACATATTGAAATGCGAATTTCATTTCCGGATAATAACAGATGCCGACCCAGTTAACTAACTGATGAACTCATTCTTACCTCATCTTTCACGACAGAAGATTTCCGTAAGTCACTAACTGCTTTGGTACTCATTTATTTAGCTTTTCGATACAAGCGCTTATGAGCTCTTCTCGTTGTTGTCGATATTCTCGTCACCATGGCAACATCAACGAATCAACGCCGTAGTCGATTCCACTGGAAATAATACGGCCGATCGCGCTCACGCTTTGTACTACACGTGGTGCGGCCGAAAGCAAAAATATTCTAAGTCCAATAGCCTAGTCCGCCTTCGCATAAGGCAAGAATGAGTTTCATCTCACCTTCGTTATTCACCTGTACCTGCTAGTCGAATTTTTGGTGAGAGTAAACAGCTGAAGCGCCCTCTCCATCGCTGTTATCTCTCACCACTCTGTCGCCATCAACATGTGCACATGTGATTTGCTTAGCAGATCCTACTATCCATGCTGCACATTGATAGATAGTTCAATCTGGTACGAAAACAACAAATGAACAGCTTTATTGTAAGCATTTGGATGTTGGTCTTTCCTACATTTCCATAAAGAGCGTTATTTGGATATCATTCTTTCGTAAGGGTTTGGAAGCGACACTGATTCCCCTTTTCGATGCTTTGGTCATAAGGTGCCTTACTTATGACTTACGGATAAAATACCTACGGCTGTTAATAGGTATAGCGTATGGACTCCTGGCTCCTTCCCAGGAGTAAAGTCCTCTGATGTACCTTGAAGAGACGAAAGCCAAAAGTAATTCAGCCGGGAAATGAATCGGTTATCATTCAACTGGGAGTCAGTCTGCCGGCTCAGCACTTCCACATTCGTGAGAGGAGTCATATCTGCTGAACCGCACTGAGGAGGAGAATTAAGAGAGCGATGAGTCTCGCAGCAAAGAACAGAGAATCATATTTTGAAAATGACACATACCTCTCTATGATACGGCGGAAGGTTACTTTTTGTTTTTAACTTTACTATTTCTCTCATAAAATCATTGCTCACCGCTTTCGAAGGTTAACTTTATCTCAAAGCCATAATTATTCAATTTTAGTTGTTGTTTGATTCCACTTCTATTTGGCGGGCCTTTAACTCGCATCCTTCTAAAGGAGGATATCCGAAGTTCGCAGTTATTTTGTGCCAAACTTCTGACGGCAGCTCCTGAGCATCAAATGAAAGCCTTTCATGCACAGACCTGAACAGACTCAACAAATTTGCATATCTCATGCAGAAGCTCACCACTTCTATAACAGAAACCCTCATCGAGATAGTGAAACCTCTACAAGAAGGAAAAGCGGTAGCCACGAAGGACTGATGACGACAATCATTTGCATTCAAAAACCCTCCCAAAGCCAGCCGAAAGACGGCTTTACCACACTCTTGTGCTGATCTACTGTAAAGTATGGTCGTTAACCTGAATGTAAACGAACTGCTTGTCGACTTAAGTTTGATGCCAATCGCAAGGCAACATAAAATCCTCCATTTTCTGTTGTTGCAAAAACTTCTTTGGTAGCTTCTTCTCATTAGATAACACTGTAACGCAACACTAAAGACTTTCTTACATGCCGCATAGCATCTGTAATGTTGTTTTGTTCTGGTAGCGAAGTTTTCTCAATAAACATATGCATTCTCGTTACTCTGGTCTGTTTCTTTTTTTCCTTATTGCTCCTGTTCTTCCTTCTTCTTCTTCTTCTTCTTCTCCTTCTTCTTCTTCTTCTTCTTCTTCTTCTTCTTCTTCTTCTTCTTCTTCTTCTTCTT